CAACAGGGGTCCTCAGAATGATTCGTCGTGCCCCACAGAGAGGTCCCCTTTGGGGGTGGAGGCGCGTGACGAGCCCTTGTCCATGCTCTCGGAGCCGGAGCTCTGGTGCTGCTGTTCGGAGCCCGCACTGGACGTGATGGTGGACGAGGATGTGGATGAGGAGCGGGTCTTCTCCTTAAAGTCTGTTATAATCACCGTCACGTTCCCCACAGTGATGGCCAGCTGCTGGGCGGTACTCCGGTCGATGTTCTTCAGCTTGGGCCTGCGGGAGGGAAGAAAAATGTGAAAGTCAAAACAAATGTAGGTGATTTCTGCAACAGTGAGGGGGGGAGGGGCTTAAACTAAATCACTTTATTCATTGGGTGTCACAAGAAGAGTCAAAACAGCTCAATCAAAAATGAAAGAGTTTTTTGAGATTTAACTTTAAAGAGATCCACTAGTTGTAACATTAAACTTTATTTGATAAACATTTGTTTTAGCTGTAAAATAAAGACTGTAAAAATACTGTAGACTGTTTAGTTTTGTAAATGTTTAAAAATATATTTAAACACAAACAAAGCCATTTTATTTACACACAAAGCATTCTGGGTAAATGACGATGTGGATAGGTCCTCTGAGCGAGGCTGCTAGCGAGCTATATNCATCAAACCATCAATCCTAACAGTTTTCAAAACAATCCAATCTCCTGAATTTACAGAAACATACAGCATTCTAGCATTATATCTTTACAAAAACCAAAGTGGAACTAAGTGACGACTGACCACAAAGATTCAAAGACATTCATTTGAATTCATATCTGACATCTTGGCAGGTTGTCAGGTGGATGACATAGTTCACTAAATCTTTATGGGGATGTAGCTCAGTGGTAGAGCGCATGCTTCGCACGTATGAGGTCCTGGGTTCAATCCCCAGCATCTCCAGGTGTTTAACATCAATCCTGACCATTTTCAAAAAGATCTTATCTATAGTGTTTACAGAAACATGCAGCTTTCAAGTCATGGATGACTTCTTGGCAGAAACAGATAACCGATGTTCCTCCACAAATTTGCTGTGCACGTTACTTGATTACGTCAATGTGGATGACATGATTTTCTGAGACTTTGTGGGGATGTAGCTCACTTGCTTTGCATTTATGAGCTCCTGGGTTCAATCCCCAGCATCTCCAAAAGAAAACAAAAAACCTCCACAGTGTTCTTGCACATCTGATCTACTGTCTTTAAAGACAG